CACATGGAAACGTGAAGGGGGATGTTGTGCCTTGGTGTGGATGGGGGGGGATGATGACGTCCATGCGAATGCGGCTTGTTCTGTTGTCTTTCTGTTACAAGTTGTGCCTTGGTGGGGATGGGGGGGGAATGATGACGTCCACGTGAATGCGGTTTGTTCTGTTGTGTTTCTGTTGTTCTGCCTTGGCGGGGATGGGGGGGGGAATGGGGGGGGATGATGACGTCCCTGCGAATGCGGTTTGGTCTGTAGGCCACCCAGAAGCTAGGAAACGAAAATACGGCTGTTCACTGTGCAAATGACGCTGATTCTGATGTTGATGCTGTTCATGTGCTGTTGCCTATGTTGACTGTTACTGCCACAGATAAGAATGCCGATGACGTTACCTAAGATGATAACATTGATGACCGTGCAAATGACAATGTTGCTACCTGTTGCCCTCGTTGATAGCTGACTGTTGAAACGCCAACCATGCAAAAAACTCAGCGGCCTTTGTACTTCTACCTCCTCGTGGTGGGCCGCGGGCTGCATTGGAAGTTCCGGTGCAGTGCAGATGAAGTCAGACAAAAGAAATACACAAGACCCCGTTAAGATGTGTGATGATAACAACAATGATGGAAAGAAAAAGAAAAAGAATGAAGAAGAGATAAAGGACACTGTGTGTCCGCTTCCCGTGACCCGCAATGGCCGGGGGCAGCCAACCTTCCGAAAACCCCGAGTTCCTGGTGTGGGTTTCGGTCGGTTTCAGAGCTTTCGTTTTTGGGTTCAGTTCTGGTGCCTACTCAGCTGGATGTGGAGCCTGCCACATGCCAGCGCTTTCGAGCTCTCCAGCTCCAGTTGGGGAGAGATGACCGGCCATCCCAATGGGCCCCCATCGGTAGTAGGTAGGGTAGCAATGCAGCCATGGCAGCGCACCCGTGCGGACTCCTTTTACGTTCGCGAAGTTCCTTCTTTTGCACCTCTGGCTGGAGTCGAGAGGCCGCTCAACAGCAGTGGCCCATTCGACATTCATGGAGGCGCCACGCTGCCACCCTGCAGCCTGGCTTACGGTGCTTGGCAATTTAGTCATGTGGGGTCTTACATGACGGCTGTTGTCAAGTGCAAGTGTTCCCAGTTGACAAGTCTTTTACAAGAGTGGGCTTACCCATTCTTTCACGACGGCATGCATGTGTGGGCTTACCCATTCTCACAAAGTGCTGTTGACGACGACAACCCGCTCATGATGCTCCTGTGGCTTGTGGGGATGGGGTGTCTTGCGTGGGGGTGGGACTTTCTGTGTCGGGTGGACGACCTGTTGGTCCTCGGCAGCTCCCTCCTTCACTGGTTCCTTGACTATCTTTGGGGCCCTGTGGCCTGTTTCTTTGTCTTTCAGGGCTTTCTTTCCTCTAGCCCTTCGTTTCCTTTCTCGTGGGTTTACCCACGGTCTTTGCTTTCCTCCGGGGACGAGGCGCTCTCACACCTGGGGTGGCTTTTCGCTCTCGGGCTGTTGGGTGTTCTTTGGGATGCTCTATGCTCGAGAGAAATTCGGCTAGCGAAGCTTGCCCACAGACGACGAAAATGCGCTGCAAAGCGTAAACGGGCAAAGGTGAGAATTCGAGGTCCTCTCCGGTTGCGGGCACTCAAGCAGAGTGTGCGAGCTTTGTGGCCTGAGCCACCCACTCGCTACGGCCTTAAAGCCCGAACAGTTCAACAACGACGTTTTTCGCAAGTGCGTGGATGTCGGCTCCTCAGACCAGGCTTTCGTAGAGGGCCTCAGTTGGTCACGGCCTTGGTTACTACAGGCCGCTCCAAAAGCTTCTGGTCCGCAGTCCTGCGCTCCCATGGCTCAGAGCTTAGAGCTACACAAAGCCAAGACTACGCCGCCTGGCTCAGACACGTTTCGTCTGAACTGCAGGGAGGCAGCAAGCGACGTAAGGGCACCGGCCAGCCGCAGAACGCTAAGGCCCAGGGCGGCGACTTGGCTACTGCTCTTGCGTCCTTTCTTGACCAATGGACGAACAAGCCAGAGCCCGTGACCCAACCTCGGGCTGCTCAGGACGGTGCCTTGGCCAAGCAACTTATTGCTGTACTCAAGGAATGCATTAACAGACGTGCCTCTGATGATGAAGTGGCGCAAGAAGTGAAAGCCCAACTCATGTGCTCACACCACAGGCTGACCCTACCCCTGCCCGCAGTAACCCGGTTCGCAGAGTTGCTGTCAGTACGGAAAGCCCCCCCGCCCACAAAACCCCTCGAGTGGAGTGGCGGAACTGGGGGTCGTCGGGATGGCAGGACTGGAGCGCGTGGCAGGACTGGGGGGATTGGCGCGAGGAAGGTGATTATGATTCGTACTGGGATGGTTGGCATGAGGCGCCTGCCCACAACCCGCTTGCTCCATCGAGCTCATCACTGAAGCCACCGTTTGACCGTTTGTTCGTAAAGACACGTTCTCCAGTAAAGACGCCAGGGTTGTTGCCGTTTCTCCTGCCGAGTGGAACGCTGAAGTTCGATTAGGAACGGTGCAACAGATGTTGGAATGCATTCGCACGGGCCAACCGTGTCAGGCCAATGTTGTCTACACTGACACTCCTGAGGACATTGGTATGCTGAAAACGGCATGGTCTGCTTTTGCAGTTCAGGGTGGCCTTACTGTTGTGGCTGGAGGCTCAGCAAAACACGTTGAGAAGCTCTTCCTCACCAGACTTCGTTTGACTCGTAGAAAGAGTGCGCCTCATATTGAAGACGTCGGGCTCCTGGCCCTCGGCAGTAACAGTCCCTGGATCCAGCCTCCCAAGGTAGTTTCTCAGTCTCGAATTACCACGGTGCAACGCATGACGGTTCGCATTTCGGTTCCTTCGCATTATAGGTGCTTGTACAAGGATGTGCAGAAAGACTGCGTGAAAGATGTGCTTGCTGATCTTGCCTTTACGGCAGGTGTGCGTAGTCATCAGCTCACCGGGGGCCGGTGGGAACAACAGGATTATGGAAAGCGAGGCCACCACTTGTTGGGCTGGCTGCGCCTCCCTGAGGCTTCTGCCCGCGCTCTGATCCGACAGAGTGGCGCGAGGGGAATCTTCGTCACTGAGCAAACAAGTGACGGCGTTCATGTCGAGCATACCTGGCTTGCTCGCCACGACAAGGAATCTGACGAAGATTACAAAGCTAGGGTTGACCTTGTGGCTTCTCAGAGATCTCAAGGCATCGTTTGCCGCAAGGGTGGAGCCTCCGATCTTGGGTTCATCGCTGTAGCCACGGATCGTGCCCCGGATAAGCCGGTCGTCTTGGAGCTATCGGGCCTGCCGAAAGACTGGCAGGAAGAGGAGCTCACTCAGCTTCTCAACCTTGAGGGATGGACTCAGGTCTCGACCATCTCTCGCCGCAGACGTAAGGAGAATTTCACTTGGACTGTACGGGCCCAACCGCCTAAAGCCTCCTCCGCCCAAAAGGCATGGACGTACCGACTTGAAAATCCTGTTGACTTCTCATCCTTTGATGTCGTCCTGAATCTTGCGGCTCCTCATAGGGGTCCCCGGCCTGTGGAACGTGTCTATGTCCAAGGTCCCAAGAAGTCTTGGTCTTCCGAACGTGGCAATGACCCTAAGCGCGCGCAAGGATCAAAGCCTAGGACCAGGGTTGACACCGTCGAAACTCTTGATTCTGAGGTGGAGTCACAAGAGCCTTCCCATGGGCCCATCCGTGAACGGCCTAGCAGAGCGCAGCCTTACCCTGCTACTACTCAGCTTGATGCTCCGTCTCCTCCCGAGGGTCCCGACATTGGGGCAACTCCTGAGGAATCCGATATGGATGTTGCAGAGCAGGCCGCTATGCGTGAGCCTCAGCAGCCGCCCCCTTACCGTGAGCCAGGGTCCCTTCAGGAGGCCCTGGATGCTGGCTGGCAGCCTATAGATGCGGGTGGCGACGGTGATTGCGGCTACAGCGCCATAGCTGATGCTTTGCATAGGCAAAAACATGCACACAGTCTTAGCCCCGACGAGTGTAGAGCTGAAGCGGCTTGGCTCAGGACGATCATGGTCTCCCACATTGAGAAACATCACGACCGTTTTGAATCGGTTCTTGTGAAGGACAAAAATGCTGCACCAGAGGATCCCACTCCTTACATGAGCATCAAGTCGTGGATCTCGGAGGCGGCCAAACCAGGCACGTGGATAGATGGGTTGGCTTTGCAGGCCATTGCTGAGAAGAAGGGCGTGCCTCTTGTCATCTTTAAGAGAGACGCTGAGACTATCAAGAGGTTCACTTTGGCGCCCAAGTTTAAACAGGGAATGGCCATGGTGGCCAAACACGCCTACCCTGTCTGTTTGATTCTCGAAAACTCCCACTATACGTACCTCCAGCCTCCCGTGGGGGCGGTTTTTCCACAGGCATGGTTACGCGAAAATATGGCTGGCCACTACACAGTTCTGAGGGGCGCAGGAGGTGACTGTTGGTCTGAGGCCACGCCATCGGTCCACACCTTTGTGGGTAGAAGGTCACAGGCCAGTCTTTCCGAGGCCACTCCCTCGGTTTACTCCTTTGCCAAGGCCCGCGACCCCGAGAGCACCCCTTCAGTTCACACGCTGGTAGGTCGTAGAGGGGCTTCGGGTAGCAGCACCCCTTCTGTTCACACTCTGGTCGGTCGTAGAGGGGCTTCCGGTAGCAGCACTCCTTCAGTTCACTCGATCGTCAAGCGGAAGGGTCCGGCTCCTAAGGCTTCTGGGCAGTCTGCCACTGCCTCAGGCTCTGCTTCAAGTGCTAAGGCCCAGCAGAGAGTCCCTAAGCGGCTGCGTGAGCCCGCCAAGTCCTCAGTCCACTCTGCAGTGCCTTCGCGCAGGGTTGGCCCTCCCAGGCCGCGCACAGGAGGGACACAGACTGCTCCGTCGTCGGTAGGTCTCTGCTCGAGTTTTTCTGGTACAAGTCCTAGGTGCCAGGGTTCGAAACCGGAGAAACAAAAAATGCGAGTCCCTAAGGGCCCAAACGGGGACTCCGACAAGGTTAGGAAAACGACGTCCAAAACCTGCTACCCGTCCCAGGGCGCTGGCACGGGCTGGCTCCCGTGGTGGTCTTGCGACCAACCGAACTGCTCCTTCAAAGTGATGAGACATCCGATCGTCCGAGGCCACCACGAGGCGAGGAGATATCATCTCACTAAGGTTCACGGCATCGAAAAAGTTCCAAGGCTTCACGACGAGGGCCCCACTACGAAGCGTAGGCGAACAAAGAAAGAAGAGGCTCTGGCGACCCAGGCCAAGATTGAAGGAGTCCGAGCGAGGCAGCGCGGTAACAACAACACGGTCTCTACGAAACCCAAACCAATCCGTAGTAGCCTCTTCGCCGTTAGGGACTCTGAGGCCGGACCTGATCCCTGGTGGCGTTGTGATTGGCCAGACTGCTCCTTTTCGCTTGAACAGGATGCGCCCAACAAGACCTACCGTCGTCAACAGCACCTGAAGCAGGTCCATGGCTTGAAGCAGGTTCCAGACCTCAGAACCGTGGGCGGTCTTGCTTCTTTGCCGGTGAGGCAGACTGCTGCTGACAGTGTTTTCGATAATAGATGGCAGCTCACTCATGCCAATTTTCTTAAGAAGATCTGGAAGACTGCTCACCGCATAGAATGCGAGCCTTGCTCCTACCGACCTTTTAAATCCTCTACCGGTCTCCCTAAAACCAGAGCCGCCCATCGGTGTGAGCTGTGTGGCATCGAAGTCCAACGAGGAGAGGTGCCGCTGTCAATCTGCAAGATGGCAAAGGGCAAACCGCCACCCCTTGCCAAACGTAAGCAAATCTGGAAGGAGTGCCGTGTGGCTGCTTCTAAGGAGCTGGGGTGTAAGCGCACTTTGCGCAAAGAGCGTAAGAAGGGCGTCAAGTCCGTGAAGGGCAAAGGCTCCTCGTGACTAGGGGCGCCGCACTCCGCGCCTCTTCTGGGCAGACAGCATGCCGCCAGTGCCAGTGACTTTGCGATGACGGCGCGGGGCCTTAGAGCGCGACGTGTTGGGGAGGCTCAGAACCCGGGGCCGTCGTCGTCCGCTTCGGGGGGTCTTGGGCACGCTGTTCCTCTCAAGGTCTGGTCTCTCAATCTCTCAAGTTGGAATCGTCAAGGGAAGGTTCTTCTTGAGCAGGCGACGGCCGAAGGGGTTCACCTGGTGGCCATGCAAGAGGTCAATTTGACTCAGCAGGGCATTCCTTCGGCTTCGCACGCTGCGGCTGCTCTTGGGTGGCAGATGCTGGTGCTTCCTAAACCTCACTCTCGTAGGGGCGGGGTGGCTCTCTTGGCTAGGCAGCCTCTTGGCTTGGTGGAGCTCTCTCGTTCGCAGAGGAATGAGGCTCAGTCCCTCTCTGCTCACCTCCTGGGGCTCCAAGCCCCCCTTCAGGTTACGTCTGTTTACAGCGTCCCTGGTGCGGACTCGACGCTTCTGTATCAGGAGACTCAGCGGGCTGAGGCGCTGTCGGGCAGTCCCTGGCTCTTGGCTTTGGATGGGAACGTTCCCATGGAGTCTGGGCCTTGGGCTGCGGCGTTGCAGCTGGCCGGGGGAGTGCTTCGGGCTGTGGGTCGACACGTGTCCAGCAGGTATGCCATTGACGGTTTGTGGTCGTTAGAAGCGGTGCCTGCGCTGGAGGGTAGCGTTGCGGAGCGTCCCAGAGAGGGCGATCACACACTTGTGGAGTGCGCCTTTGATCTTCGGGTTCCTAAGGGGGGCTCGGAGTGGAGGTTGGCTCGCACGCCTGAGGACAAGCGCGAAGCGGAGCTCCTCAAAGATGTGTCGTGGCAGGACGTCGCTTGCTCCTCACGTCAGTGGGAGTCATTAAGGACTGACTTGGATGCCGCTTGGCAGCAGTGGTGTCAAGACTCACAGGCCTGGCTCTCGGCGGCTGGGGCCTTAGGGCACAGGGTTCCTGAGCGGGCCTTAGGGTCTGAACCGCGCTTGCGGTCTGGCCAGCATAGGGTTAGTGCCGGCCAGAGTGCTCAAGAACGGCGGGTGCGGCGGCTCGTGCGTCGTCTTAGGGAGGCCCAGTTACTGCAGCATCGAGGTCGCCACGTTCCTTCTGAGTTGCAGGCGGCGCTCCTTAAGTCTCCGACTGGGACGGTGGACTTGGCGGACGTACGTATGCAAAGGTATGGTGCCCTTCTGCGCGTTGCGCAGGCACAGTTGGAGGCTATCCTTAAAGCTAAGCAGCGTGAGGCTTTGACCAAGTGGAAGGAGGACATCCATACGGTTCGGGGTGCCTGCAGGTGGTTAAAGAGAGAAGAAGCTGTGCCGCAGCTTCTCCAAACCGAGGACGGGCAGGTGCTCACGCAACCGTCTCAGGCCCTTCCGGCTCTTAAGGCTTACTGGGGACGCATCTTTGGGTGTCCTCCTCACCCTGGCGCTGACCATGAGGGTTTTTGGAGCCTGTATGGTAGGTTTCTTAGGGGCCCAGTCTCTCCTTTTCCGACTCTGGACCCCCTGACGGCTGAGCAGATCAAGTCTGCCGCTAAGGCCTGTATCCACAAGGCTGGAGGACCAGACGGTCTCACTCCCAGAATGATCGCGCGTCTTCCAGACGGTGCCTTGTCGAGACTCGCGGATGTGCTCAACAGGTGTGAGATGGAGGGTCGATTCCCTTCCTCTCTTAGTCATTGGCGCGTCGTCTTTATTCCTAAGAAGCGCAAGGGCAAGATTGCGACACTTGGGGATGTGAGACCGGTGGCTATAGGACCGACAGTCTACAGGCTGTGGGGGCGGCTGAGACTTCAGGCTCTCTCCCAAGGCCTTTCGTCGCTGCTTCTTCCGTGCCAAGGCGGAGGGCTCAAGGGCCAGGATGCAGAGACTCTTGTCGCCAGTTTTCACCTGGACTTTCCACCAGAGTCGTGGGGTCACGGGGTGATGCTGGACTACGCCAAAGCTTTCGACGCCACTGACTGGCAACTGTGCACGGAAATGCTAAGGCAAATGGCTCTTCCGGAGCCTGTGGTCCGGTTGCTTGAAGATCAATGGAGCCGCCACTCCAGGTGGCTCAGCTTTGGCGGGGCTGCTACGACTCCGTTGCGGGGGGCAAGAGGATTGCCCCAAGGGGATCCTTGGAGCCCTGTGTGCCTAGCCCTTTTGCTGTCGCTGCCGGCTCAGCAAGTGGAGCGCGAGGTTCCGGAGGCTGCTACTTTGCTCTTCGCCGACGATCGCACCGTCATCGCTCAGTCGCTGGGAGCTTTGCAGAGAGCTAAGGATTCCTGGACTAACCTGGAGACTGTCTCTCGGCTTCGCA